ATGGTTCACTCTGGGGGAAGACAGCCGCCATGTTGTGAGGACACTCAAGCAGCCCCATGGAAAGGCTCCAAGTGGTCAGGACCCAAGGGCTCCAACCAACAGCCATGCGAGTGGCCCGTCTTGGAACAGGACTCACCAGCCCTCATCAAGCCCTCAGCTGGGATGGTTCACTCTGGGGGAAGACAGCCGCCATGTTGTGAGGACACTCAAGCAGCCCCATGGAGAGGCTCCAAGTGGTCAGGACCCAAGGCCTCCAACCAACAGCCATGCGAGTGGCCCGTCTTGGAACAGGACTCGCCAGCCCTCATCAAGCCCTCAGCTGACTGCAGTCCCTGCAGGTAGGATGACTACAGCCTCATGAGAGACACTGAGGCAGAATCACCTGGCTAATCCCAGTCTCAAATTCCTAATTCCTGACATGCAGAAACCACGAGAGATGATAAATATTTGTTGTTTGAAGATGGTAAATTTTGGGGTAATTTGTTACACAGCAATGGAAAATTAATACAGAAAGGGAAGTGGAAGCAGCCTTGATATCCTCAGGGACACTCATCACTCTTGACTCCAGTCTTCCTGCTGTCACCTTCGCTAGAAGGGCCTTTCAGAAAAGAAAACAGATTCTGCCTTTTGGTGTGGAAACCAGAGCCATGGTGCACCAATGGGGTAGCATCAGTATCATCTGGGAATTTGTTAAAAATGCAAATTCTTGGGCTCCACCCCAAACCTGCTGAAGCAGAAAATGGAGGTAAGGCCCAGAAATCTGTGTTTCAAAAGATGTCAGAGGTTTCTGACACATACTTTCAAGAACCTCTGCCCTAGATGATCTGGTTCCCCCTTGCTCCCCACCTCTTCATCCTATATCCCACTGGTATGGTCTGAATGTTTGTGTCCCCCCAAAATTCATATGTTGAGACATAATCCTCAAGGTTATGCTGTTAAGAGGTGGAGCCTTTGGGAAGCGATAAGGTCTTGAGGGCATGGGATTAGTGCCCTTAACAAAGAGGCTTGAAGGAGCCCTTTTGCCCTTCCACCTTACACTACGAGAGGACCCAGCAAAAAGACGCTATCACTGAAGCAGAACTTGAGCCCTCAGGAGACCCTGAATCTGCTGTCACCTTGATCTTGGACTTCTCAGCTTCCAGAACTATGAGTAATAAATTTCTGTTGTTTATAAATTATCCAGTCTCAGGTATTTTCTTATAACAGCCCAAACGGGCTAAGATACCCACCATCCCTCCTTCAGCCAATTCGGCCATGGTTATGGGCTTTCTGATCCTTAAACATGCCAAACTCACTGCTGCCTCAAGGCCTTCGTCCTGGCCATTCCCCTGCCTGAAACACCCTAACTCTGCTCTTCATGTGATTGGTTCCTTCTTACCTTGCAGGCCTGAGCTCAAAATTGTTTTCCTAGAGAATCTTTCCCTGACCACCCCACCTAATGTTACCCCTTATGCCAGAAACTATCCTGTCACCCCATTTTATTTTCTTATAGCTTTTATCACTTTTGAAGTGATCTTATTTATTTCTTTATCTTGTAAATTGCCTATCTTCTTCTCTAGAATATAATCTCTAAGGAGTGGCCCTATGGGCCTTGTTCACCTCCATAACCTGGGACAATGCCTGGCATATAATAGATGTTTAATACATATTTGTTGAATGAATCTAGACCACTCTCTTGATTAACACCCTCCAGTGGCTCCCCACTGCCCTCAAGGTCAAATTGAGATGCTTCGTTGGCATTCAAGACCTCATGTCGCTGGGTTTCAGCCACCTCTGCAGCTTCCCCTCCTGACATTCCCTTTGTATCCTCTGTGCACTCCCACACTACCTACCTGAGGACCCTGAGTATGTCAGGATGGCTCAGGAGCGCTGGCCTTTGAGCATGATGTTATTTCTTACCTACTGTGACTACCTGGAAAACTCCTATTCATCCTTCAAAACCCGGCTCAAGGTCTCACCTTTGTAACTTTTCCAGAGCCCCCCACATGGAGCCCTCCATTCCTTCCACCTTCGCGACTCCCCTGCACCTTGTACAGCACTCCTGGCCCAACACCTGTCATGCTTTTTGTCTCCAGACCCCGCTTTCCTCATCTGTGGGATGTGGTTCATAAGATTCCTGCCTCGTAGGAATCTTGTGAAGTTAAACAGTTGCTATTCACAGAGTGCTTAGAATACTGCCTGACACAGAGCAAGCACTCAGCAAGCAAGCTGTTGCTCTTCTACTGCCCAAGGCTGTTCGTGCCTCTGTCTCCCCGCCTAGATGGGGAGCCCCCCGAGGGCAGGGCTGGGGCTGACTCAGCTCTGCATCTCCAGCATGTGGGATTGGGTTCAGCACACATGGACAGCCAACAAATACCTGCTGAACTAAATTGAGTTACCTGAGTAGCTCCAACTCATCTTGGCTGTCATCTCCTCTGAGAAGTCTTTCCTGACACCAAGGCAGGCTAGGGGCCTCTTCTGCATTTCCAGCTGTCTGTGATCATTCCATCTCAACCCTTATCTCGCCACATTGCCCTTATCTGTTTATTTGCTTGTCTTTTCTTCTAGGCTGTGAGCTCCATGAGGGCAGGGTCTATGTGGAATCCACATTTATCTCCCCACAGTTTGACAAATAAACGAACAAATCCATACCATAAAGGACTTGCAGTTATTCCCAAGTTGGAGAAGGTCCTGAGATCAGGATTTATATGATGGGCTCCTCTGGCAGCTGACTACACAGGGGACAGTATTTCTTAATCAGGGACAGTTGGAAGGGTCCTTAAGTTTCCACATCAGCCATGTAGCTGAGATTGGTAGAGCTTGTGACTGTCAGAGCCAGCTGGCTATAGTCTGGTGAGGGTGAGTGTATTAGAGGCCTCTTCATGAGCCACCGCAAGGTCAAGGGACCCAGGAGACAAGAGGAGAAGCTCAGCCCCTGGCACCCCCAGGGGTCCTGTCCCTGCTCACCAGTCCTCTGGGGACTCATGCACTCTTGAAAAGTCAATTTCCTGCCCCCAGAGCATGTTCTAATAAAAAACATCATCGTCTTAGATTGGAAAATACTGTCTGAACAGGTGGGTGTTTCTCCCTGGGAGAAAAGTACGGGGTTTTTACACTAAGAAACCATTAAATGCTCTGATACCAGAGCCCCCACCCCACCCTTGGCACGGACATCTCACAAGCCTTGTACTCACAGATTCACATTGCATGCACATACACACCCTATAGTGTGTCTCCAAGTTGTGTCCATTTTCTTACAACCTTGCACACTCTCAACAGTGTTGTGCAGAAACCTGCACATACAAGCACAATTCTAAACCCTTGCACACATATTCACAAAGGTACACACCCTATAGTGTGTCTCCAAGTTGTGTCCATTTTCTTACAACCTTGCACACTCTCAATAGTGTTGTGCAGAAACCTGCACATACAAGCACAATTCTAAACCCTTGCACACATATTCACAAAGACAACTTCACATGCAACCACTATTAGTTAAAGATAATCGTGGATTGGCATTAAGCTCACAAACATAACCAGCTGACCCTGCACACTGCACATTATAGACTCAATCCTGGGCACAATCTCAGACAATTGTATAATCACAAACTCCTACAGCCTAACTCCCAAACAATCCTGCTCATTCATGTGTGCGTGCACACACACACTCACCCTTTCCTTGTGGTCACATGACACACCCTCCCACGGCAAGGCAAAGAATACCACAGGCAGGAGGCTGAGAAGGAAGGGGTCTGAAATGAGTGAGTCTGGGATGCTGGGGCCCTACCGTTCAGCACAGTTGTCCTGGCAACGGAAGACGGTCATCTTTTTGTAGTCAAAAAAGGACACGCCTCGAAGGGCCCGACTCTGGGTGTCATCCAGGTAGCAGCCGATGTACTTGGCTTTGGAGAAAGGAAAAAGTCAGATGTGGCTGGTGACAAAGCTGAAAGGGTTACAGGAGGAAGCTTCACCAGGGTGCCTCTGGCTGCATGGCTTTGTTGACATTTTGGTACCAATTCCTTCCTCTGGGCAGAAACAGGAGAGATTAAAAGTCATGTACCTTGGCAGGACCTAGTTCAATCAGGGCAGTAGAGTTCAGGGGCTGTGGGCCCTGCAGGCCTACAGGAGGAAGGAACCCTTCTGTGGTAAGGGCTGCAGCCAAGCCCTGGGGGTCTTCTGGTGACAATTGGGCATCCGGAACCCAAGCCAAGCCCATTCCCTAAGTACCAAACAGAACTTCCTATTTCTCCCAGAATGAGACCCATATTAGGACAGCTTTAAAGGGCTTGACATTCTCCAGCCTGTTACCATTCTACAGGCTGCCTCAAGATATTTATTTTTCTTTGGAAAGCACACTGGACTCAGACAGCTCCAGGTCTGGGTCCTCATTTCACTCTGGTTACTCCGTAGCACAGGCCTGCTGAGTGTAGGCCAGTTAACCTCTCAGAGGCCCCTTTTTCATTGTAGTGGAGATAAAAATACCAATCCAGTGAGGTTAAAATGGAATTATCTGTTTAAATCCTTCTGTCCTAGTGTCATATAACAGGCACAAAATTAAGGTGAGTAGAATAAGGAACAAAGCTATGTAAAGTACTTTACAGTTTGCCTCTATTACAGGCCAAGTGAATGCTTCTGTCTAAAGGGAAGTTTTAAAATATGTAAAACAACCATCAATTATAAACCATACACTTAGTTTCCTTAATGTAGTAAACATTTTGCTGTACTTCATGGTAAACAGTAACTCTCATACACAAAGACAGCACTTTACAGTTTATAAGGTCTTTTCCCATATGTTCTTAAAATTAGGACTATGATTGTGATTATTACTTGGACACACACTTCGGTCAGTGCTATCCACATTTTGTCTCATCGAATCTTTACAATGTCTCATTGAATCTATTCCCATTCTACGCAGATGAGGGAACTAAAGCCCAGAGGCTAAGTCACTCGCTGAAGGAAACGCAGCTTGCATGTGTGAAGCTGGAGCTGGACCGAGCAATCTGGCTCCAGAGTCCAGCTTCTGAGCCACTTCTCTCTTGAACTGGGGGATCTTTGCACTGTCCCATGTGAAGAGGAAAGCACTGGTGTTCTCAAACTCTTTTTTAGATGATTGAACAGAGGCCCAGAAAGGTGAAGCGGGCTGCCTGAGACCCACAGCAAATTGGCGGTGAGCAAAGATTTAAATCCCAGTCTTAGGGACCCCCAAACCAGTGCTCTTTATACTATTCCACTTAGAAGTAACTGGACATTGGATCAAGGATCTAGCCAGCCCTCGGAATTAAATGGCCTTCATAGGAATGACTGTGGAAAACACTAAATGCCACTTGCTTGCTTTCCCTGGCTAGGCTGCTGTCTAGTTTAAACTGTGGGCTTCTTTCCCCCCTTCCTTGTGGTCGAGGGCGGGGTCTAGCAGAGGACGATGTCTCATTACCAAGCAATTGTGCCCCTTGATGCTGCCCTGCTAAGTGCAGTATTTGTCAGCCCCGCTGGAGATGTGCCTTGACCTGATCACCTTGGATTTCTTTCATAAGACAGAGGTTATTTGCTAGACTAAGAACAGTCCATCTCTAAAAGAAACATTGCCTCCCAGGAGCAGGCACATCAGACAGTGACAGCTCTGGAGAAGCCCACGTCTTGTCTCTGTGCTTGTTCAACAAGGTGTGCCCCTCCTATCACAGGTGGAATCCCAGCCGTGTGACTTGGGGCAGGGACGCTTTTGCAGCTGAGCTGGGAGAGAGCACTTCATGGGCCATGCCGGTGAGGGCTTCACACTTTTGCTTCAGTAGATCAATAGAGGACTGAGTATCCAAGGATGCATTAGAGGATGGGCAGGAGGAGGAAAAACAGGAAGTTGGAGGGAGGGAGAGAAGGCAGAAAGGGAAGGAGGGAGGACGGGAAGAGGGGAGGGAGGGAGGGGGAGGGAAAGGTTGGTTTATTTTGGCAGCATGAAGTCTTTGTCATCAGACAGCAGATTGTGTGTGTGTGTGTGTGTGTGTGTGTGTGTGTGTGTGTGTGTGTGAGAGAGAGAGAGAGACAAAACCACAATGTATTGAATACCTATTATGCTGTGTGTGTGAGAGAGAGAGAGAGAGAGACAGAGAGAGAGAGAGACAGAGAGAGAGAGAGACAAAACCACAATGTATTGAATACCTATTATACACTGTCTACCTTACTAGGAACTGTGTCTCTTATTTTTTTTTGTTTAATTCAATCTTCACAAGCTTCTTATGAACCATTTTACAGAGGGGGAAACTGATCACAGTAACTCTTACATCTGTCTCTTTTAGAAGTGAATCTTAGTTTAGGCATATGGTATATATTCTGACTGGTAATTACTCAGGTTGTTTCTGTTTTTCCTCTTTTCTAAATGGAACTGGAAGCTATGTTATCTGCCCACGTTCTTACAGCTTGTAAATGTCTCACTTCAAATTTAAACCCAGGTCTGTCTTCCAACCATTTTACACTTGGGGAGGCTTCACTTCCTTTTGGCCCCCAGGCTTCAGGATCATAAAGAGCTGCACCAAGATCTGCAGAAGAGTGCTATGGTTTGAATGTCTCCTCCAAAACTCATGTTGAAGCTTAATCCCCATTGTGGCAGTATTGAGAAGTGGGGCCTTTAGGGGGTGATTGAATAGCGAGGGCTCTGCCCTCATGAATGAATTAATCTATACATGGATTAATGGACTAATGGGTTATCATGGGAGTGGTCTGGTGGCTTTATAAGGAGAGGAAGAAGCACATGAGGACGCTCTTGCCCTCTACCATGCGATGCCCTGCACCCCCTCAGGACTCTGCAGAGAGTCTCCACCAGGAAGAAGGCCCTGACCAGCTGTGCCCCCTTGACCTTGGAATTCCCAGCCTCTAAAAGTGTAAGAAATAAATTTCATTTCTTTATAAATTATCCAGTTTCATGTATTCTGTTATAAGCAGGAGAAAATAGACTAAGACGAGGAGGAATGCTCATGCCCCAGATATGCTGGGCTTGGAGTTGGATGTAATATGACTTTGGGTGGTCTCACCTTAGGGAGAGGGAAGGTGCATTTGGCTACATTTGGGGCAGTGGGTCATGTTAGATAAGGATTTCATAATCAAATTAGTGGTAGTAAAGCTGTACATGTGCATGTCTATATGCATGCCCACTGTGGAGTGAAGGGGTGGACTGTAGTAGGCAGTGTTTCTGCCTTCAAAGCATCCCCTCTTCCTGTTTCTCTATTACCAGACCTCAGCTGCCCTGAACAAAGGCAGAGCCAATTATACAAAAGTACTTCAAGAAGTTCATGAAAAAATAGAATTAAAATATAACACAAATCTTTCCATGAACTTTTTGAAGTACCATTGTGTTACCCATCCCACCAGCCAGTGATTGCTTCAAGGAAGAACACTTGACCTATTTGTTGAATACTTATAAGTTAAAGCTGAGAGAAAGAAATCTTCCTCTCCTGGGATATGAGGTTGGCATTCTGTAAGCAAGAGCTACCAACAACCACAATTCCTGGCACCAATGTCAGTCTATGCAGCAGAACAAACAAGCTAAGGCAGAGACAAGCAGAGGTGAGAGTTAAAGAGAAAAAAGGCCACAAATCATTTGCTTAAAAATCCAGTCCAGCAGAGTCCCTTCTGTAGTTTGGGGGCATTGCACAATGCATTTTCTTCTTTAGCTTAAGCTAGTTGGAGTTGGGTTTTTGTCCCTTGCCACCAGCGGGGCACTGACTGATACTCAAGGCTTAGTAATTTGCCTGAGTGCACCCAGACTTACTAGGGTCTCAGACCGAATCCAAGCCCAGGCCTGTCTATTTCAAAGCTCCCCCTCCTATGTACTACTCCGAATCCAGTCTTGGGTGGAGGTATGTCCATCCTCCCCAGATAGACCTGCCCAGGAGAAGGATGACAGTATGAGGGTCCTCTGGGAGAAGAGCTGGCATTTGACCACAGTCCTTCCCCAAAGCCTGGGCTATTATATGCTGTGCTACCCCCACCCCCACCCTCCCACCAAGCCAGGCATCAGGCTGAGACACCCCAAACGACAGGTGCTCAAAGACTTGTTGAATGAACAGATGATCCTCCGTTTCCTTGTCTGTCAGTGGGACGGAGAGGAAGACCCACGGTCCTTCATTAATGCTTTGGAGAACATGGGTGCGTTGCACATCGTGTCCTGATGAATGGGCTGAGCTCCAGGCCAGGATATGAATATGGAGTCAGTTTTCTCTCTGTCCTGGGCAAGATCTGGTGACCCCCTTTCACACTGACTGTCAGTGCAGGCTGCGACCAACACAACTATCGTCCCTGTCGTAAGAGTTTTATCACAAGCTGAGTTCATGAGTGTGGTTACTGCCAGCCCTCTAGCATCCTCTTCTGCCATTTTCCCAGGGTCCCACCTTTAAATCCTGCTGTGGTGGCAGAATCTCTCAGAGACAAGGGGGAGGTCAGGTATGTAAAACAGGGACAAAATCACAGGCCACTTGGGGGTGGATTATCACACAATTTGTCAGCTCACCTCTGCAGAGATCCAAATACTGCTGAAATGGCAAAGTCACCCCGGCTGACTTTGGGAGATTTATCTCAAGCACAGAAACCAGCATCTGAAAAGAACCCTCCTGGTGTTTTTTTTTTTTTTTTTCCTTTCCTTTCCTTTTTTCTTTTGCTCCAATTAATCTTTTCATGAAATTTTGCTCTCTCTGATAGAGGTAATTTGTTAAAAGGGTGGCTAGACAAGAACTAATTTGCATGCTTCTTGTGCATTGTTCATGAATAGATTAACAAACAGAAGCCTCACACTGTACCAGAGTCAACCAGATCTGGGTTTGAATCCTGAGAATGACTCTGAAGTAGCCTTGAAACATTACTCAAGCTCTAGGAGGTACAGTCTCCCATTTGAAAAGTGGGAACAACAGCCCTAGCAGTG